GACCCCCAACTCCCCCCAAAAATCACTTGCTCCCCCCCCAACTCACAGGCTGACCGTCTGCTGGATGAGCTTCATCCAGTTGTTGCGGTCGTCGCGGGAGGCGGCGTGGACCTCGTACATCTCCGGCGGTGGGGCACTGATGAGGAACATCCCCTTCTCCTGGTTGGCGATGTCCCTCACGATGAGGTTTTGCAGGGAGATCTGGTCACCCACTATCTCCATCCCCTGGTCTCCCACTATCTCCATCCCCTGGTCCCTGGGCATCCCCATCCCCTGCTCCTTCAACATCCCCATCCCCTGCTACTCCATCCCCCAGCACCCCAGTGTCCCCCAACACCCCGCTGTGTGTGTGTGTGTGTCCACCCCCCTCCACCACCACCCCAAACCCCACCTTTGAAGCGCCCGGCCCCCGTTTTCCAGAGCATGCAGCCGCTGTGGACCAGTTTGCGGCGCAGGAGCTCGTCTTTGCCGAAGACGCCGGTGCTGTTGTCCCAGCGGAGCTGCACCTTGGCCCTCCCGTCCACGCGCCGGTAGACGTCCCAGAGCCGCGCGTTCATCTCGTAGGTGTGCACCTCCTCGTTGATGGAGGAGATCAGCTCCTTCACCAGCTTCAGCGCCCGCGACAGGTCCGCCGAGTCCCCCTCGTTGTCTGCGACCAAGAAGGACACACACACACACAGGATGCCACCCCCACTGCGGTGGGGAAGGGCCCAGGGAAACGTGGGACGGGGGGTGGTGGTGGCTCACCAGCATGGGGAAGGTGTATTTCTGGTCCTTCTCTTGCAGGAAGACGAGGACGTCCGCCATGAGCAGCACCAGGACATCTGGGAGGGGGGGGGAGGATGTTGAGACACTGGGGTGGTGGCACGTCCCACCTCGCAGAGCCCCCCTTCATCCCAAGGCTGCTCCCAAATTCATCCATGGAGGGTGACAGCCTCCTGGCACCCCTGGTCCCTGGCATCTCCACCTCCAGGTACCTCCACTCCCTTGGTATCCCCATCTCCTGGCACCCTGATACCCCACCATCGTCATGCCCAGGGACCCCCATCCTCTGGTCCCCCCCC